ATTTATTTTTGTATAAAAATAAAATATAAATTTTTTAAAAATAAATATAACATTCTTTCTGTATAAAAACCTCCATAAATTAGAAAAATGTTATTATAAACTTATCTCTTAATCAGAAATTTTAATCATAGACAAACAATTGTACTTATCATCTTATTTTCTTTAATACATCACATAATATATATTTAATATATTTACAATAAGAAAATTATACAATAAATATAATATTGTACAGTATATAATATACTATAACATCACAAAACACTTCTTCATTCTTATATACTGTTTTATATAAATATACAGAATAAATAACATTTGTTTTTCTAATAATTAGGAGGAATTATAAACTTTCTTTTAATATTAATAATATTTAAAATATTTTATAAGGTAAATTAATTATATTTTATTCATGAAAGTAAAGTAATTATTTCATCAATATAAATAACTCTGTATTAAATATTACTATAAAATAGTGTATAAAGTTGTCTAAAAGATGTATTAAACAGTGGATAAATATATAAAAATATATTTTATATATTTATTGAACAAGTTTTTTTATTTCTTTGGTTTCATATACAAATAAATGTTATATTTGTGTTTCTTAAATGAATAATGTTCATTATTCTGTTATATAAAAGATTATTCATTTTCAATTAATTTAAATAGTAAGATTAATATTCATTTATGTTTACTTAACTAAAAGCAAGATCACTTATCGAATAGTTCCTTGACTATAAGGTTTATATGTGATATATATTATGAGATAGAGTAACAACAATTATAAAGAATTACCTTTACACCAGTCACTCAATATTGAGTCAATGAAAAGCACGTGTCGATTTGAAATATATGTTGGAAAGTTTCGTAATCCATGTTATTGAACGATAAATTTCGATCGTCTAACCTTAAGGAAAGTGAGTTTATGGTTAAAACTGGCAGAAGCTAAATACAAACTAAAGCTGCGAGGAGGAAAATGAAGGCAAACATCCACTTTATCAATAACTACATGTGGCTCCATCTCTCGATCGATAACATCTCTATTTCTTTTTAAATGTAATTTTTTTCTATTAGTAAAAATTGATCCGAAAAATAATTTCATAATTTTATTACTAAATTTTATATATTATATTTAATCCAATTTTATCAGTTTTATATTTAACGTATGTTTTTCCCCTCCTTCTTATTTTATTGAATAGTTATGTAAGGATGCGGAGAAGGATGATACCTTCATCATATCGTACGAATTTTACGCTCATATAAATATCTTCTATGGTAAATTTTTTGTCGGAAAAGAACTTATGACGAAATATTCTGTAAAATATTGCTGTATTAGTTTTAAAAGATAACCTTTCCTTGCTTTTTTAGATCTCCTGTTAGAGTATCACGCTTCAGTGAAGCCGACATTCTGCAGCTGAACAAATTTTTATCCAACACAAAATAACACTCTTATAATAAAAGTACTGACAAAACTTTTAAATTATATTTTTATAAGAAATTTAAGACGTTATTTCCGAGAAAAAAATTTTATATAATTGTCATTAGAAAATATAAATATCTTTTGATTCTTTTCCGGATAAAATAAAATTATATTCTTAAAATTAATATATATTATA